AAAGGATGACACAGGTTTTTGGCCTAATCAACTAGGTGGGCAGTAGGGCCATTCACTCAAAAGCAGAAGACAAAGGGAGATTTAGGGGCCAATCAAATGTTTTGGACACGTCAAGTTTGAAATGCCCATGAAACATCAAAGGAGAAATGCTGGGTAGGCAGCTGGGCTCCAGGTTATCTATCTAGTCTGGGATGCAAGCTTGGGAGACACCAGCAAAGATGGCATCACAACTGCATTAAGCCACCCCGATTCGATGCAAGAAAAGTTCTGGGACTATCACTTGGAGCAGCCAAGGTCTGGAGAGGTCACCTACCGAGGCTCAGCCCCGGTCTTCAGCCAGGATTGTGAGGACAAGCTCTCTGCTCCTAAGAACAAAGCCTGGCCTTCTGGGAGCCACAATGGCTCCCTGAGGATGACATATGCTCAGGAATGAGGGCACTACTAAGGACCAAGAGTTGTGGTGAGCCTGGAACCCAACCATGCCAGACGCCTGCCTCATCTGTACTCGGATGGGTTAGCACTCACATGGATTCACTAATCCATTTTTACCAAAAATAGTTTTATTAGTGCAACGTGACATTATGACATAAAGCACTACACCATTTGACAGGGCATTGGAGCACCAGTATGCAGTTACATAGCTTCCTCCGTAGTCCTTACTACAAACAGCTGCTTAAGCTCAGCCTAAAGACTGAGTAAAACATTCTTTCTACAACATGCTGAACACTCACTTCAGGTTATTGTAGAAGCTTTTTTAAACGGACCTCCTTCTTCTGAGGAGAAGAACATTTCATCTGAAAATCTACAAATGGGTCTTGTACTTATCTGACAGTACCCAATAGGCTGGTCTCACATGGGTCCCACAGCCATGGCACCAGATCGAATGACCAGCCATGGACAGAACAACCCCACATCTGTCTGACAGAGCATTCCTGGAAAGGCTCTGCACTCAAGACAAACCCCCACACTACCTGGGCAGGGGAAGTGTTCCAGGATGGAAGACAAGCTAAAAGAAATTGAACCTAAACTCTTTATCAGGAGTGTCCAGGGTGGCCTTGGCTACCCCCGCCTGGCGAGGCCTGCAGACCCTTCCACTCTTCTTTCTGGTGGCCTCACCTACAGGCTGCACTTGTGCTGTGCGGGCTGCTGTGGGGGAGGGGACAGACGGTGTCAGAACAGAACAGCTAACATTACCTGCGCCCATTCAACTCTAACCCCTTGGGACAGAAAACTGATGCACTCCTCAAAATTTTAGGGAAGGTATTATCATCAAACTCCGCTTAGAGACAGGAGCACCTGGGTGCCTCAGTTAAGCTTCCAACTCTTGATTTCAGCTCAGGTCATGATCTAAGGGTCAGGAGATCCAGTCCCCCATAGAGCACAGGGCTCTGCTCTCATCGGGGAGTCAGCTTGAGATTCTCTCTCTCCAACTGCCCCTCCCCACCAAGCGCTCTCTGTCTCTCTCTCTCTCTCTCTCTCTCTCTAAAACAGCCCCAGCTTCTTCTCTCCCTGCTCTCCCAGGCCTCCGTGAGTCCGTGTCCTCCCCCTGCCCGCCCCCGCCAGCCCTGTTACTCTGGGCTTCTTCCTGTCACTCCCTGGGCTCTTCCTCCCTACCCCCTGGAATCAACTCCTCACCAGTTCTGAGTACCCGAAGGGCCTCGCACCGCTCAGCTTCCATCTGAGCCCTGTAGTCCCCAAACAAGGAATGCATCAGCTGCCTCTTCCGGGGCAGGGGGGTTCTTTCGCTGCGAAGGGTTCGGATTGCCCCAATAGCCTGCTCTTCTGAAAATAAAAACAAATCACTAGTAACCTCTATCCTCACCTCCTGCCGTCCTACAGCAATGACAACTCCATCCCGTGGCACCACCCGCAGGCCATAGCAGCACTATCGCAGTGCCCCTCCCCCCCAACTCGACGGAAAGGCTCCTCACTCTGTTTCGGACTGGGTCTCTGCATCTTGAGGCCCAGCTCCAGCTGTTCCACACACCACGCCAGTTCCCGGGCCAGCTGCTCCGCCTGTGATGAATTGGGGAGAGTGGCTATGGGACGGCAGCAGGACCCCGCGGCCTCCAGCCCCATCTCACAGGGACCCCTCCCACCCTCCCGTCCCATCCCTCTCCCTGCCTTAACTCCGAAACTCCGAGACCACACGCACCGGCCAACGCACTCACACCCGGGATGCATCGGGGATCGCCACCCTTCCCGACCGAGGCCCGCCTTGCCTGAGCCTCCGCGCTTAGGGGCGCTTCCTCTGAGGCCGGTTTTTCTGAGACCTTCCCGCCTCCCTTCGCCACAGAGGCCCCATTCTGGATTTTCTTCTTCTTTTGCTTCTTGGAGGCTGCGGCGCCTCCGCGGCGTTCGGGGTGCTCCCCGGGGGCGGTGTCACTGCACGTGGAGAGCCCTAAGCAGAGACCGACCGGATGGGGCCTGATGGCGGAAGGACTCGGGGCGTTGGGAAGCGATCCAGGGGGCCGGGGGCTGCGGGGCGCGCGGGCGGTACCTGGGCCTTCGGTCGCTGATTTCTCCCGAGCAGGATGTCCTAGGGCCTGGAGAAAGGGGGGGGGGCAGCAAGGGGTCACGGGGGGCCACCGACTGCCCAAGACCCTGGCATCCCCACGATTTCTCGGCTCAGCTCACCGCCATGCGCCACCGTCGCCGCCGGAGATTACGTAGGGCCTGAGGTCCGACGCCAAATTCCCTCCTCCGGAAACGCGTCTGCGGCGCCGAGTTCCGCTGGGCGCGGACGGCGCAGTGGGCAGGCCCCGCTCTGGGTGGAAGGACAATCCCCAAACGAGGGAATTCTCTCAAAGCTCACCTAGTGGGCAGAGAAAAGCCGTCACAGAGAAGCGTCGTGAATAGCGGCCGAAACGGGACGGCGAGTGGTCAGCAAAGACCTCCGGTGCAGCAAAGACCCGTGCCGGGCCGGCGGGACTGGTCGGTTAGCGGGAAGGAGGCCGGGGACAGGGGTCGCGGTGCAAGGCGAGGTCGGAGAGTTGGGCGAGATCTGGTCATGCAGGCGCCGAAGGATACCTGCTGTCCGCTTTGATTTTGAGCGTAAGGGGAAGAGACGTTCATCCGAAGAGTGATGTGATCCTACTCAGATGTGTGTTTTAAAGATCCTTCGCTGTCTTGGCACGAGGGCCGGACGGGCTGGGGGCGGGTGAGGCTGACAATGTGGAGGGATTTCAGAAACAGGGGAAGAGCCTGCGCACTTGGTGGCCTGACTGAGCGCGGCAGGGGAGAGGGCAGAGAGGGAGCCCCCTCCCACAGTCTACCTTGCCCCTTTGGCCCCAGGGCAGACCTCCCACCATACAGCACTACAGACCAGGGTGCCTCCTCCCTGCCCGGGGTAACAGGCGTCGGCAGACCTCCGCAAGAAGGACGAGGGGCTTCGGGAGGACACGAGTCTGAGTGCTGTCTGATGATATTCCTGTCAGGGAAATAGGGGTAGAAGTGTCGTTTCCTGAGGCAGTGGACGGGCTGGGAGGTCTCAGAGGGTAGAAATTTGGTCATCACAGATAGCTGGTGTATTATGTATTGCAGCCTAACAAGTTGTCACAAAACTGAGCAAATCGAAAACAGTAAACATTTGGTACAGTTTCTGAGGATCAGGAATCTAGCAACGGTATAGCTGTTTGGTTCTAAGTTAGGGTCTCTGATGACCCCTCTTGAAGGGAGGAATATCAAAAACTTTTAGACATATTTTTAAACTACCACAGTTAGATGTGTTTCAGTCCTGGCAGACTGGAGGTTTTGGTGGTGAGTGGGTTCCAGATCCAAAAGGGCTTTTTCCTGCCTTGTTTGGCTGTGAATCAACCTGTGTGACTTGGCCCAGAACTGCTTCTTCCAGAAAGCTTTCTCCACCCAGACATCTGTGTCTGAGCACAAGCCTCACACCAGACTATCCTCTTCAACAGCCCTATATGCAATCAGCCACCCAATCCTATCAGTTTATCTCCTCAATGGTCTCCACCCCTCCCCACACACACACCATCTCTGCCCTGAACAACCTCAATCCAGGCCTTGCTAATCTCTGCACTTCCACTCCGTCTTGTCTGTTCTGAAACATCCTGTGGTGGAAGTGAGCTTTCTAAAACAAAGGCTATGTTACTGTCATGCCTAGAAATCTATTTCCTCCAGCATGAAGTCCAGGCTTCTTAGCTGACATGGACAGCGGTTTGCCTGACCTTCCGGCCAGCACATGCCCTACAAATCACACAGAGACAACTTTTTCCAGACCTCACTCTGCTCTGGTCCCACTGATCTCCCAACCTTCTGACCTTCTCCTTACAGGCCCCTGCAATCCCACTGGCCTCTGCCCTACACAGACACCTCATTTTCCTTCCCTGGCAGTACTAGCACCTATTCAAACCCCCAGACCCAGACAGCAGGTCCTTGAAGAACTTTAGACAGGAAGGCGTAGAGGACCCAGCTTCCATGTCAATAAGTCTCCACATCTCTCCACTGCTTCCCACCCTGGCCTTTCACTCTCTATCACCATGGCTACTCCCTATTTCTTGAATAGATAAGTCTCCACTAGTCTCCACTAAATGATCTTTCCTCTGCCTACTCCCCTAGCCTCTTTAGAAAATATATTACAAATTTCATACCTGCAAATATCAATATTCATATGCAGTCACTTATCATTCAAGGTAGTTCTATAAAGTAACTGAGAACACTGGATTTGTGAATACTGAACCATCACTCCTAGGGGAAGTACAGTTGGGTTCCTGGGAGCCTCCAGTCACATTTTCATCAGCCGATTGATACATCACCTTCTTACGTATTTTTATTTAATATATATTAACATACAGATCTAATATATGTTGTTGATTTATTAACATTGATGTCATGGCCAACAGCACGATGACTAGTACCTGAATGAAGTTTATATGGCACATGTATTTTCTCCGTAAGGCACAGCGTACCTTAGGAACACTAGACAACACCCCAGCACTATGCTCAAGGGCCATTTTAAACAGCAAAATCACCACCAAAAAGCACAAGAATGCAAAAAGTGTAACATTGAATATACCATGAAAAGGACCTGGTTTACAGTATGAGAGCAGTGTTGGCTGTTCAATCTCAGCTGGGAACATGTCAGTGTAGTGACCCAGAATTTTCATTACTCTGTGCATGTCTGTGAATGACTGTGAAAGCATGAGGGGAGGTTTTGGGGGTTACAAGTAAATTTTAGCAACCAGGTGAATTTGCAAATACGGAATCCACAATAATGAAGATTAACTGTATAAATAAATGTATTTGAAGGTAAAAATAAAAAATGTAACTACCACCCAGTTGAAGAAACAGAGCATTATCAATGTCTTTCAGGACTTATGTGTGCGTACATAACATAAATATGGGGATGCCTGGGTGACTCAGTTAAGCAGCTGCCTTCATCTCAGGTCATGATCCCATGGTGCTGGGATCGAGTCCTGCATCAGGCTCCTTGTGCAGCGGGGAGCCTGTTTCTCCCTCTGCCTGCCACTCCCCCTGCTTGTGCTCTCTCTCTCACTCACTCTCTGACAAATAAATAAATAAAATCTTTTTTAAAAATAACATAAATATGTATCTCTAAATAATACTGTTTAGTTTTGCATGTTTTGAACTTTACATACATTAAATCATCCTATAGGTGTTCTTAAGCTTGTTTTTCTCAATAAGTATGTGAGGGTTACACATGTTGCTGTGTACCGTTGTAGTTCACTGTCTTCACTGGTGATAATATTCTACTGTATAAGGAAACCCAACAAACATTCGTTTCTTCCACTTTTTTTTTTTTTTTTGCTATTATAAACAATGTACTAGGCATATTCTTGTATGTCACCGATGTTCAGGTATTTCTCTAAGATCGATCTAGGAGTGGAAAAGCCAAGTTGTAGGGTTTTTTCACTTTCATTATAGTATACTTTGATGAAAAGAAATTCTTATTTTGAACATTGTTATATGTATCAATCTTTTTATTTTCCCCTTTTGTGTCTTAAGAACCTTTTGTTAACCTGGGATCATTCAAATTTTTTGTCTGGAAGTGATTTTTCTGTCTTTTGTAAAATAGGAGTTAGTTTTATTTTTTAAAATATGGATAATCAGGGGCGCCTGGGTGGCTCAGATGGTTAAGCATCTGCCTTCGGCTCAGGTCATGATCCCAGGGTCCTGGGATCGAGTCCCACATCAGGCTCCCTGCTCCTTGGGAGCCTGCTTCTCCCTCTGCCTCTCTCTCTCTCTCTCTCTCTCTCTGTCCCTCATGAATAAATAAATAAAATCTAAAAAAAATAAATAAATAAAATAAAATAAAATATGGATAATCAACTTTTCTAACTCCATTTGTGGAATTCAAGTCTGCAGTGCACCTCTGTTTGAAGTTCATTTCCACATATGCATGGATGTATTTCAGAGCTCTACACTGTCTTCCATTAGGCCTTTTGTATAGCCTCACAGTAATGCCACTCTGCTTAACTGCCAATCTTTACAATAAGTCTGATATACGGGGATGTCCACTATCACCACTGGTGTTCAACAGAGTGCTGGAAGTCCTAGCCTCAGCAATCAGACAACAAAAAGAAATAAAAGGCATTCAAATCAGCAAATAAATCAAACTCTCCCTCTTCACAGATGACATGATTCTCCATGTAGAAAACCCAAAAGACTCCACCAAAAAATTACTAGGACTGATACAGGAATTCAGCAAAGTCACAGGATATAAAATCAATGCACAGAAGCCAGTCATATTTCTATACATTAACAATGAGGCAAAAGAAAGAGAAATCCAACAATCAATCCCATTTACAATCGCACCAAAAACCATAAGATAGCTAGGAATAAACCTAACCAAAGAGGTAAAGGATCTGTACTCTGAAAACTATAGAACACTTACGAAAGAAATCAAGGAAGACACAAAGAAGTGGAAAAACATTCCATGCTTATGGAATGGAAGAACAAATATTGTTAAAATGTCTATGCTGCCTAGAGCAATCTACACATTCAATGCAATCCCTATCAAAATACCATCAACATTTTTCACAGACCTGGAACAAACAACACTAAAATTTGTATGGAACCAGAAAAGACCCCAAATAGCCAAAGGAATGTTGAAAAAGAAAAACCAAAGTGGGAAGCATCACAATTCTGGACTTCAAACTGTATTACAAAGCTGTAATCATCAAGACAGTATGGTACTGGCACAAAAACAGACACATAGATCAATGGAACAGAATAGAGAACCCAGAAATGGACCCTCAACTCTATGGTCAACTAATCTTCAACAAAGCAGGAAAGAATATCCACTGGAAAAAAGATGGTCTCTTCAACAAATGGAGTTGGGAAAATTGGACAGCTACATGCAGAAGAATGAAACTGGACCACTTTCTTATACCATACCCCAAAATAAATTCAAAATGGATGAAAAACCTCAATGTGAGACAGGAATCCATCAAAACCCTAGAGGAGAACACAGGCAGAACCTCTTTGACCTCAGCTGCAGCAACTTCTTGCTAGACATGTCTCTAAAGGCAAGGGAAACAAAAGCAAAAATGAACTTTTGGGACTTCATCAAGAGAAAAAGCTTTTGCACAGCAAAGGAAACAGCAAAACCAAAAGACAACCAACAGAATGGGAGAAGATATTTGCAAATGACATATCAGATAAAGGGCTAGTATCCAAAATCTATAAAAAAAAACTTGTCAAACTCAACACCTAAGCA